ACCTGACAAAAACATCAAGCTTTTATAATAAACAAAATAAAAAGCAATAAAAAGAGGAAATAAAGAACAATAAATAAATAGAAACTAAGAAAAACTAAGGAAAATAAATCTGACCATATCATGACCATTAACATTCAAGGAATTAATCCTATGAACAAAAGGACAACAGAGTATGTAGTTGTCATCGAAGAGTCGTCGCGACATGAAATACATTTGCTGATAATTGAGATCGACACCACGAGTGTAAAACCAAGTGCCAACAAGATCCTTCTCAGAGTCACTCAGATCATCAAGTGCTACAAAATCAAATTTCACAGGTTCAAGGCAACATCAAATCATGTGACATTGAAACATGCTAAATACCTTCTTAAAAATAAATCTTACCAACACACGATAAAGGGAACAACATATCTCCATCCCGATAAAAATCAACACCAATCAACGTTCCATAGTGCTCAAGCCTAACACGATGACAAGGACCATAATCAGTCACCAATCGTTCCCAGGAAGGACCATGGAATTTGTTGGCTTGCTGCTCACCCAACCATGGCTAAACAGAACACCATATTTACCATCACAGGTGTGAAGAGCAAGATCAGTATCTTTGCCACCACTTCTCATGGCTAAAGCCCTACACTTCTCAATGTACCGAGCAAGATGACTCTAACAGTGCATGAAATATACTGCAAAAATTGAAATAATCATCCTAATCAGAAAAACAAGACCTAGAATAATTTTCATTCAAAACAGCATCAGCGGCACCAAAAGAAATAAGTGTGTGTGCCACCGCAAATTTTAACACCAATTATAGAACAAATATAAATTTTTATCCTTACAACACGCCTCGAACATCGCCGATCTAGCACCACATTGAACAGATCTACAAAAGAATCACTTGGCATACGGCAAAAAGGGCAAGCCATACCTGCAAAGAACACATTGATTATTAAGAATTTATCACACAAGCGAGTTAAAAGTTGACATTTGATAGTGTTGGAAGCCCCACCCATAATCAACCCATAAATCTCCATTGCCCGGAAATATAATGGTAAAATTAAAGGAAAACTAAACCGGAGACAAGGAACCAACAAAGAACACAATTACCCCCTAAGAACGTAGGCAGGCGGTACCAGCAACGGCGTCGAGAACTCCAACGAGGCGGGGATGGCAACGCCGGCGAAAAAGGAAAACAGAGCAAATGGCCAGCTGACCGGGGGGGCACGGACGCGAGAGAGAAACAGATCTCAGAAACTATAATACAAAACCTTAAATGTTTAGGGATTTAAGTGAAAAAGGGAAAACCAGAAAGAAAAACTGAAAACCGGGAAACACGGGAGCGCGACAAGTGTCACACACAGAGCGCTCCAGAATAGTCTAAGGAGCGCTCCATGCGTGACACGCACGCCGAGCACCCCCGACTGACCTTTGCAGGGAGCGCTCCTCAACTAGTGATTTCGGAAGGACTAACGTAGGTCCACCCCTAGTTATTTGCTTTGATTGATCAGCCGGACCCAAGCGTTGCTGGCTAAGCAAGCTTGGTGGGTTCTGACTAATCCCTCTTCTCTTTGTGCTAGAGTTCTAAAGGCTCGATATTTCAAAGACGAGACGATCTTGAGCGCTACTTGCCCATCCAACTCCTACACATACAGGAGTATTGGTTTGGCGTGTGGGGGATGGCTCCAGGATTAATGTACACCCTGATAATTGGATCCCCAGGTATGGACATTTGAGACCACTGGGTCAACTATATGTTCACGGAATGGCCAAAGTTGCAGTTCTCCTGAACAACAATGGGACGAGCTGGGATCTGAACAAACTTACCAACATGTTCACGGAATCAGATGTGCGTGATATTGCGCACATAGCAGTTGGTGGCCCGGGCACAGATGATTATTTAGCCTGGAACTTCTCCAAGAACGGCATGTTTACTATGAAATCCACCTACCATCTCTGGATGTCGAGGAGAAGAGAGCGGGCGGGCCAGCATGAGCCGTCCACTCCCGTTCAGAAACACAAAGCCTATATGGCTTTGTGGGATACTAGCGCGCCACTGAAAGCGAAGATTCATATGTGGCGTATGATACGAAATGGACTTGCTGTAGGATCAGAACTTCATCGACGGCGGATCAAACCAGGTGTTTTTTGTGTTGCACGCGGAAGAGAAGAAACCATTCTACATCGCTTCTTGGCATGTCAGCATTCCTCTCAGTTCTGGGAGCTTATGCGTTCGGAAAAAGGTATTGCGGTGGCAGCCCCACCGTGTCAGATTGATACCCAGGGCGCGCTAGCTCGATGGCTTCTTGGGTGGTTCTCCAGTGCATCCGACGACGAGAAGGAGGCAATGATTCAGGCAATGTATAGTTTATGGCTGGCGAGGAACAAGCGAGGGACGGAAAAAGGATACAGCAGCCACATGCGATCATGGAGGCAGTATATGCTCACATGGCTGAATGGACAAATTCCCACAAGCCCAAGGTACGCTCGAGGGAGCTGAAGGAAGTGCAGAAGTGGGCAGTACCGGCGGAGGGATGGATTAAGATCAACTCAGATGGAGCTGTTTCCAGAGTTGGCGACAAGGCGGGAGGCGGTGCAGTTCTAAGGGACCATAATGGAGCGTTCCTAGCTGGAGTCTGCCATCATTTCTCAAACATTGCGGACATGGAAGCTGCAGAAATTATAGCATGCAAGAGAGTTTTACAAGTTGCTGAGGAGATTGGTGCTCAAAATGTCCATGTGGAGTTGGATAGCCAGCATGTAGTTCAGATGATTAATCAAAGCGGCAGGAACTTCTCGGCAGTGGGTCCTTGGATCCATGACATAAAGCAAATGTTGGAGATGAAGGAAGGAGTTAAAGTGACTTGGGTTCCACGTCCGGCGAATGTCGCTGCGCATAAGTTGGCTAGAGTAGAAGTAGGAGATGAATTATGTAAGGTCTGGTTGGGGTTCCCCCAGACTTCACTTTGGATGTAATCTCGGATGACATTCCGGGCTTTGTGGAGTTTTAATAATTAAATAAAGCGGAGACATTAACCCTAAAAAAAAAAGATTGATCAGCCGGACGGCCACCTCGCCTCCAAGAAACTACCCTGTATCGTGTGGGCGAGGCACAGCACGGAAACGCACACCTCCTGGGTCATGCAGCGGCAGCACGGCCACCTCGCCTCCAAGAAACTACCCTGTATCGTGTGGGCGAGGCACAGCACGGAAACGCACGCCTCCTGGGTCATGCAGCGGCAGCACTGGTCGACCAGAGCGGCATACTCAATGAGCACCCGCACAAAAAAACCACTACCGAGAATGCACTGCGCAGAACAACCAGGGCACGTCAAAACCAGTGCAAGTCAAAACCAGTGGCGAAACCGCGCAAAAAAAAGAGAGAAACCAATGGTGAAGCAAACCACCTTGGGCGGAGGCTGGCACTGCACGACTGCTATCTACTAGTGGTAGCAAGAGAACTACTGTACTACCTACTACCCTTACCGCCACTCCAGAGTCCAGACTACAGTCTGTGCAACAATCAACACAACAGTAAATCAATAATCATGCCATCAGGTTAAGGAGAATAGAACATTCTTGCACCATTATGATTGAAAAGAGTAATACGTAGTTGTGGCTACTGTCAGCCACACCGCAACCATTGTCTCACTCGCATGGGCTTTTAACTTCCTTTACAAAACATGATTCAGAATTATTGCGAAGTTGAGCTTAAGTTACTGCTACTTTGCTACGCATCCCACGTTTAGCACATCCTGCACACTGAATACTTGAATGCAGGTACATGATTGGGGGTAAATTGCAAGATATTGCCGACTCCTGCACAAACAAAGAGACCATGAGACGACTTCTAACCAAGGATTCACACGTACAAATGTATTTGCCTTGAAAATGTCAGGTGAACAAACTAGGATACAAATAGCAAGCAAAACAAAGATGAAACCATCCAATAAACCGTCTTAAATTCAAGAGAGAAAACTGAACCTACAAATATACTTTGTCCCAAGGTGCCCGGGAACAAACTAGGATACAAATAGCAGGCAAAACAAAGATGTTCACAAAGGCTACCTGCCAGCCAAGGGGGGGAACTACCTAGTATCAAATTCACAAAGCAGCATAAAACATATATTTCCTTCCATGCATGCTCCATACGATGCACAACTTGAAAAACTTGGAACTAGAGAAACGGAACCCATGGCATTACCTTCGTCATGCCTTCCTTAGCGCTTTCAACAGCGCCAATGCCACTGTACCAAACATCCTTCTGGGCTGATAATTAACTTTTGGCTGCAGAGTTCCGCCCATGAACATAGATGCTTTGCCGGTTGACTTATCCGAGATATTCATCCCATAAGTCTTCTTCTTATGAGCGAAGAACTTCACACTAAGCTCTGATGTTAACACTGATCTTTGAGATTGGAAGAAACTTCTCCTTGCAAATTTGAGCTCCCATCCCCTGGGATCTTTCTTCACTTTAGGCTGGTCAATCAAGATCTTTCTATATGTCAGAAATCCCAAAAACCCACTGCAAATGTTATAAAATAATAGTCACCTATAATAGAAACCTAAGCTCTACTCATAATATTTCATGGGACCAGATATTATTGGCAAAGATACACCACTTAACAATTTAACATAATCAAGTAACATGCCCATGGTATTAAATCTATAACAGTTGTCACATAATGTAGTCATAAAATCACTAAGACTGTAAAGACCATACATGTTGAAATATAGCAAGTGTCAGTAAGAATTGTCCACAAAACAGTACACTTTAAACCAACATCCTATAAACAAAAAGACATAAATAGCCCTGGTTTCTTTCGAGGGCTTGGGAAATATGTAATGAGGTATTTCCATCATTCGAGTATCTTTACCTTTCCATTTCACAGACAAGGCACTTTCAGACCTGCTTTGATCCTAGCCATCTCCTCTGTTTTCCATCACATATAGTTAGTGTTTAAACTCACAATTTCTGAAAGACATACTTCAATCAAAACACCCACCTAATTTGCGAGGTAGCTCTTGAGAGGATAGCACATTCCAATAGGGGTGGCTTCAAGAACAAGAAAAAAGATGACTATCATAAGTATGCAAAAGTTATGATCAACTAAGAAATGGAAGGGGTGTGTAGAGAAGTACAGATTTCCAATGTCTATGCCATCTCCAATAGAAAAAAATCCATGATCCTTCAGAATGAGCGTAACATGTTCAAAGACCTCCGCATGGGCCACTTCCATGACACAGGGAATCTGCGTGACATTTTTTACACATGAGAGAGAGAGAGAGAGAGAGAGATTAGGGAAAGTATTGTTTGCAATGGAAACACAAAAAATTAGGTTGACAGTAGTATCATTATGCATGAAAAATATTCCTCACAATTCTAACAAAATTTCCACTAAAATACAGGCACAAGAATAAAGATCGATGTCTAACGTGTTATGTATTTCGAACGGAGTAATGCAAGTTTAAACAAAGGAGAGCTATTCACATTCCTAAAAACATGTACAGAACACACGTTATGAAAAAATATTTGATTTCATAGTTAGTAAAACATGAATGTTCATCTCAGTTCCTAGTACTTAGTCATTATATGTTGTAACTTGTAAGCATCACAAACGTAACAGGAACAATGATCTATTCAGGCACCATGCCATCTATAAAATGCTCGATAACAATTATAGGTCCTCAGAAATTGGAAAGGTATGAGTAATCACACTTTGTTATACAGAATCAGATTAATTCTGTGATATGCACATATTTCGTAGAAATAAGGAAATTATGGTATCATAACTGCAACTAGTTTGTTACCTTTGGATGAGACCTTATGTAAACATCAAGAGCTTCACCAGCTTTGAAAATTACATGAACAAGATTCAATGTAACATCAAGAAGCTCCTTTTTCACCTCTAGTGGCTCCATTTCCAGTCTGTTTTGGCGCATCTTTATAGCAGTAATGTTGTCCACGACAAAGTTAGTGATAGTACCAAACCCTTCTTTCTTACTACTCCCACATCCATTGCAGGAAGATAGCCCGCGGATCTGCTTTTGAGCTGATAGGAGCAAAACAGCCGTATGGACGATCTGCCCATCTACTATGTACTTGCAGAGCTCATCTAACAGATCATCTGTGTGTTTGGCTAGCAGCCTAGTTGTATCCAAGAAGATTTTCTGCAACACAATGAAAATGGAAGAAAAACTCAGTTCAATTTTTAAACAAAATCAAATTTTCAGAACTCATCTTAAATTGTTGTTGTTAAATTAAAATTTAAAATGGCATAGCACATGGACATACATATACAGACAGTGTAACACCGAGAACTACAATTTTTGGAAAGTGCAGTTATAAGAACATAATGTCCTTGGGATTTCGGTATTGCTATATCAGTGGTTTGAGATATATGACAACTTCTTTTATGCGGCAAAACAAGTAATTTGTGCAAGGACAGATGCGAAACAAACCATTTCGGGTAGGCACAGGATGTGGATGAGCTTGAGGATATAGTTGATGTCTGCCTGGCTGCAGTCCACATGCTGTTGACTAGGATTTAGACTGTCCTCAAGGTACTTATGCATGGAAGTGTTCTCAACCGCAACATGGAGTGGGAGTAGGTCAGCAGGGACTAGATCACCAGATGTGCGTAGATTGGCAGACGCACCATGGCGCAAGAGCAACTCAATCATATCAACAAAGAACATATCAGCAGCTCGGTGGAGGGAAAAGTACCCATATCGTGTCATGCAGTTGGGATTGGCTCGGAAACCATGAAGCTCAGGATCATCACCAACCAAGACAACTTTGGCACATCGCACTGCATTATACACGATTATCTGGTTTAAAGTTTCTGGCGTGATGATGAAACCCCAAGACATGGCCCTTCCATTCTCATTGAAGAAGCGAAGGAAAGATCTGACATTATCCTTTTCCAAGATTGGCACCAAGGCGGGTAATATATCGAAGAGCACATCATTTACGAACTACATTGATCCATTCACAAATAAGGATGAAAGGAAATCAATTAACAGCAATGTTCAAATAGACAATTTAAATACTCAGAAGTTCTGGAGGTCAACTGCAAAAAACCTGCGGAGTACGATCTGGTATGATTATATTGGTTGCTCTGGAGTTAGCAAGTATAGCCTCTGTTTTGTCCATCCACTGTGAGGGAGTATGCCACCGTCAAGAGATGTGAGATTACAGGAAGAAACAATTTTTAGAAAAACATTGTGAAGTTAGTTAGTTGCTGCACCTCCTTGACTGGTGCGATATGAGCGGCCATGTCAGCATCGCATGGACTAGGATCACGTGGAGGGTAGGCAGGATTCCAAGGATCGTATTGCCCATTCATGGATATACCATGTACACCTTTACGGTCGTCTTCAGAACAAGCCGTTGCTGTTGCCTCCTTTTTGCGCATTGCCTTCATTGGTGCAGACCAGGCCTGTAATGTCAGCTCCCCTGTTCGTTCCAAGACAATACCATATCTTATTAGCTTCTGCATTTTGTAGAGAATTTGTGCTAGGAAATACAAAGCTAGAATGCCAGACTTTACAAAGAAATCTAGTACTACGCATAAACATGGGATAATAATAAGTAGTACTAAAAGATGGTACTGGTATACTTCTATGTGTTGCTCTCACTGTTCCAAAAGAAGATACACAAAATAATATTCGAACAATGCAACAACCACCAGTTGCTTTAACTTGTAACAATATCATGAGCATATCATCACTACATACGCATAGCATCACTACATAACTTGACTGAACATGAGCATATCATCACTACATAACTTGACTGAACATGAGCATATCATCACTACATAACTTGACTGAACATGAGCATATCATCACTACATAACTTGACTGAAGCATAACATAGACATAGAAAACGGGAGATGAACAACCAAAATTATACTTAAGTGAGGCATACACAAATCATTTACATCAGACATCAGTTCTCTATTCATCAATGATCAGTACCTCAATGCCACTAAAGCAGAACAAAAGAATTGAAATTGCGATAATACAGCGGGCTTTCAACTGAAGGCCAATAGTCAAAATTTGAAATATAGTAGTAATTGGTCTACATTATTTCTTTGTGGTAGTTACTATGTATTTTTCGAAAATATAGAAGGAATAGAAGTCAAAAAACAAAATATAATAGTAATAGACATAAAAATCTACATAACTTGTCAGTTAATATGATATTTCGAATTTCCACTACTGTACACCTTTTACCGGTAGGTTTTATATGAAAAACCACGGTATTCCATCTACTTCGGACGAGCCCGTGGTATTCCAATTATTTTGACAATCATGTAAGCTGTAAACCTTTTGCTTGAATAAACAGGACAAATACAACTTTGAGGTCAACAGAATGCTAACTTCATGCAACACGGCATGTGGAGTAACATCCAGTACGTGCAACAATAGAACAAGCAGCGATCATGAATACACAATTATTCAACAGTTCAGATATACTCGTACTATGCTAGCACGGAGTACTCTTGCTAGTCAACAGCAGCCAAATCTACAACTGGATGAATGGATCCACCACAGATTGGAGGCACCAAGGTCGATTTCGCCGGAGGCCGACCACAGATCTGGCCAGGAGGGGGAAAGAAATCGGTGGCCAGGGCTAACAAAACCTAACCCTAGAAACGATGAGGAGAGATGAAGAAGAGGAGGAGATAACGAACCGCCGTCAAATGCCGACGCAGATCCACTACGGCAGGAAAAGGGAGAAGCTACGCAGGAGAGCGAGAGCGAAGCCAGGATCCTCTACTGTTCGGCAGCCTGACGTTCTACCACTGACATGTGGGCCTGTTGGAAACCTGGCCCACATGTCAGCGGCCCAACGTCACCTAGCGCACGGGGGTGAGCCGTGGCGCTGACAAGTAGACGACGGGGCGAGAAAATCACGTGCCGAGTGGAGTTAAGAGCATCTCCAGCCGCGCCCCCAACACGGTGCCCCCAGGCGGTTTTTGCACGGGCGCCGAAAAAATGCCCAGTCGCGCCCCAAGAGCCCGTTTGTCGCCGGTTTGGGCCGAAGTTAGTGCCGGCGGATCCAGGCCGAACCCGGCGCGCCGGGGGCGCCCGGGGCGCTGAGGCGAGCGGTTTTGGCGCGAAAGAGCCGTAGGCCCGCCGAGTCAGCGAGACGCCGCTTCGTTGCCCTCATTGCCTCGGTTCCCGCAGAAATCAATGCCAAGGCTGTCGCGCTGCCGCGCCGGTCAGCCTCCATTGATGCCTCACGGGCAGCGCAGTGAAGACGCCGCCGACGCGCGTCCCGCCCGCTCCCGCCATGCGTCGTCCCGCATTTTGCCTCCCCGCTTCCCCGCTTCGGCTATAAAAGGCACTCACTCCCCGCCGGTGAGCGCCACAACCTCCCCCTCTCCCTCTCACAGAAGCCATCTCCCCGCCGACGAGCCAAGCAAAGATGGCCGAGAGGTGCCCAGGCGATGGCGCAGCGGCGAACAGCTTCGACCGCCAACACCTCCAAGAGCCGGAGGCGCGCCTCCTCTACGAGGCTGAGTACCCGGCGCCCCCTGACATGCGCGTACCGGGGGCCTGGAGGCTGAGCGCCGCCGGCGTCCCGATGCCGTCGGTGCCAGAAGGGGCGGCACGACGGGCGAAGATCTCCCGCATTCGAGTACCCGCCGAGGCCCTCCTTCTCTCGCCGTCGTGCCAGATCCTGGACGCCGAGGCGGATGGAGCCGGGGTCGTCCTCGTCGTCGGGCTCCAGCTCGCCGGTCCTCCACCCCATCAGGCCCGAGCCGGAGGGGACACCACTCGGGCGTCGCGCTCGCAGCGGCGCCCTCGTCATCAACGAGGTAGCCTGCCCCTCACCGCCTGCCCCGGCACCGGCGAGGCGCTCCCTACGCCTGGTCCGGCCGAAGCCCGAGCTGGGGTTGCTCCCCGTGAAGCCGGAGCACGTCGACATGGTGGCCCCCGACGACGAGTCTGCCCTCAAATGGACGAAGGAGGACTACGTCCGTGATGACCCACAAGTATAGGGGATCTATCGTAGTCCTTTCGATAAGTAAGAGTGTTGAACCCAACGAGGAGTAGAAGGAAATGACAAGCGGTTGTCAGTAAGGTATTCTCTGCAAGCACTGAAATTGTAGGTAATATATAGTTTTGTGATAGGATAATTTGTAACGGGTAACAAGCAATGAAAGTAAATAAGGTGCAGCAAGGTGGCCCAATCCTTTTTGTAGCAAATGACAAGCCTGGACAATTTCTTATAATGAGAAAAGTGCTCCCGAGGACACGTGAGAATTATCGGCAAGCTAGTTTTCATCACGTTCATATGATTCGCGTTCGTTACTTTGATAATTTGATATGTGGGTGGACCGTTGCTTGGGTGCTGCCCTTTCTTGGACAAGCATCCCACTTATGATTAACCCCTATTGCAAGCATCAGTAACTACAAAAGAAGTATTAAGGTAAATCTAACCACATCATGAGACATATGGATCCAAATCAGCCCCTTACGAAGCAACGCATAAACTAGGGTTTAAGCTTATGTCACTCGAGCAACCCATCATCTACTTATTACTTCCTAATGCCTTGCTCTAGGCCCAAGTAATGGTGAAGTGTCATGTAGTCGACGTTCACATAACACCACTAGAGGAGAGACAACATACATCTCATCAAAATATCAAACGAATACCAAATTCACATGGCTACTAATAGCAAGACTTCACCCATGTCCTCAGGAACAAACGTAACTACTCACAAAGCATATTCATGTTCATAATCAGAGGGGTATTAATATGCATTAAGGATCTGAACATATGATCTTCCACCGGATAAACCAACTAGCATCAACTACAAGGAGTAATCAACACTACTAGCAACCCACAGGTACCAATCTGAGGTTTGGATACAAAGATTGGGTACAAGAGATGAACTAGGGTTTGAGAGGAGATGGTGCTGATAAAGATGTTGATGGAGATTGACCCCCTCCCGATGAGAGGATCGTTGGTGATGGCGATGGTGATGATTTCCCCCTCCCGGAGGGAAATTTCCCCGGCAGAACAGCTCTGCCGGAGCCCTAGATTGGTTCTGCCAAGGTTCCGCCTCGTGGCAGCGGAGTTTCATCCCGTAAGCTTGCTTATGATTTTTTCCAAGGTAAAAGACTTCATATAGCAGAAGATGGGCACCGGAGGGCCACTAGGGGACCCACGAGGCAGGGGGCGCGCCCTATAAGGGTGGGCGCGCCCCCCACCATCGTGGCCAGGGTGTGGGCCCCCCTCTAGTACTTCTTTCGCTCAATAATTATCATTAATTTCAAAAATGACTTTCGTGGAGTTTTAAGACTTTTGGAGCTGTGCAGAATAGCTCTCCAATATTTGCTTCTTTGCCAGCCCAGAATCCCAGTTGCCGGCATTCTCCCTCTTCATGTTAAACCTTCTAAAATAAGAGAGGATAGCCATAAGTATTGTGACATAACGTGTAATAACAGCCCATAATGCAATAAATATCGATATAAAAGCATGATGCAAAATGGACGTATCAACTCCCCCAAGCTTAGACCTCGCTTGTCCTCAAGCGGAAGCCGATATCGAAAAATATGTCCACATGTTTAGAGATAGAGGTGTCGATAAAAATAAAATACGGACATGAGGGCATCATGATCATTCTTATAACATCAACATATATATAATTTTGTCATATGATTTCTTATGCTCAAGTAACAATCCATTCACAATGTCAAGTATGGTTCAGAAACTTCATTGAGAACTAACAAACTATAATATCAGTCATTAAAGCAATTGCAATTTATCATAACATAGGAAAGAGTCAACGTAAGAGCTTTTCAGCAAGTCCACATACTCAACTATCATTTAGTCTTCTACAATTGCTAACACTCACGCAATACTTGTGGTTCTGGAGTTTTAATCAGACACAGAGAAAGATATGGGCTTATAGTGTTGCCTCCCAATGTTTTACCTCAAGGGTAATGTCAACAATAATAGTTCATGCTAACTTACATCCAATTGGATATATGTATCAGGATCTTTCCAACACGAGGTGCTTGCCAAAGGATAAAATGTAAAAGGGAGAGGTGAACATCACCTCGACTCTTGTATAAAGTAAAAGACATAAAGTAAAAGATATGCCCTTCACAGAGGGAAGCAGAGGTTGTCATGTGCTTTTAGGGTTGGATGCACGAAATCTTAATGCAAAAGAACGTCACTTTATATTGCCACTTGTGATATGGACCTTTATTATGCAGTCCGTCGCTTTTATTACTTCCATATCACACGATCGTATAAAGCTTATTTTCTCCGCACTAATAAGTCATACATATTTAGAGAGAAATTTTTATTGCATGCAACATGGCAACTTACTTGAAGGATCTTACTCAATCCATAGATAGGTATGGTGGACTCTCATGGCGAAAGTGGGTTTAAGGATAT